CGTTAGATATCCTGTTAAATTTTACCATACCGACCTTAAAATTTTACCTACACTGTATAAGCCATATTACGTTAAGCTGCGGTGTTCGTGTGGTGAAGGAGATTGACCTGAAACCTATTCAGCGGCTATGCCTGCATTGGTTCGAGTCCTATCTGCTGTAATCTTATTTTGGTTTTATTGTTATATATCAGTATACTTAAGGAAAATATACTTCAACCTAATATAAAAAACCTGTGACTGTTAAAACAGTTTGAATCAGGATTTACAATTTAAGTAAAAAAGCGATAAATGTTTAATTTTTATTTGCGGTACTTCAATTTTAGGTGGATTTCTCACTTCGGCGCAGAAACTTGTTTAAGAATTAATATTGTTGGCCCTTTCGTTCTGACTTACTGAGAAGAACTGTACATTTAATTATGAATTATTTTTAATTTTTCGTAGAAATTAATTTACTGGAGCTATTATTATTAAGTATACTACTTAACATTACTTTTTCAATTATTTTTAGACAATTCTAAATAGCAAAGTGCACATTAACAAGAGTTTCATATATGATTTCTTCAAGGACTGGATAGGAGATGGCTTGTTTGTAACTAATGGTAGGTATAATAAGTATATCCTTCCTAATATTCCTCCATATGTCATAAATTAAATCGCGCATTCCAAGGACAAAAATAAATTGATTGAATCCAACTTACCTCAGTACAAAAGTGTACACAAAAAAAGTTACAGCCCTTTGAAGTTACAAAATAAAATTGTTTTTTTGCATTATCTCCTAAAGTACTTGTCACTTTGTATTAAAAATGGACACGTTACTTTCTTGTTTGTTTGAAATCATTTTTCATTAAAAAGAAACAACAAAGTCTAAGCGCACAGAAAAATTTTAAGGGGGGTGTACAGCACTACATCCCCCCAAACTTTTAAGTTCGTTCAATGAAATGAATTTTTTGGCATCATCAGTTTAACACATTATTTAAAAAAAATTGCCTCCTATCACTTTTTTCAAAAAAACGTTTTTATTGAGTTACGGCCCTTTTCATTAACCTTTAAAAAATTACGTGCAACTAAATAAATGAACTTTGATGGTACACAAGGCAAATATCGAACACAGTAGTTAATCAAATCTTGCCCAAGTACTTTCGATCACAAGATCATCCTCAGGGGCATCTGAAATAAGCCAAGAAACGATTTTTTTTTTTTAAAAGGAAAATTAATTCACTTGGATAAAAACTCCAAGTTTATAGTTGAAAAAAGTTTTTTATGTGATTAACGTTTATAGACTTACTTCGTCAGTTGTGGCCTATCCAGCAGTAACAGAATGTCATAAATGTAAATTGGGACATAACAAATACACTACCTAAACAAAGACAAACAAACACTTTAAAATTTAAAAATTGGAGAAGCTACATTTTATATAGACTCTGGAGACAGAATGGCTCCCAGCCTGGCGGAGGCGGAAATATTGAGATGACATGTGATAAATGACAGCTTGTGAAGGGCAGTTACAATAGATAAGTGATTTGCGCCTTTTAAGATTCTATGAAACTAAGTATTGACCAAAGGTCCAACTGACACCACTATAGGAAATCAACTGAAGAAATATAAAATTATATCTAATATTTTTATGTAGATTGAATAATTCAGATCTCACACTCAAACCTGTCTATAATAATTAGGATGTTAGTTTGAGAGCAATTGAAGTTGACATAAAGTATGAATTTAAGAAATAGACTAAACAATATATTAGACAGTGGATAGTTGACTACAATAAAATGGTCCACTAAGCGCTATCAGTACTGTAAAAAGAAAATCTAAATATTCAGTTGAATTGATAAAAATTAAAATCAAAATTAAAAGCAAAATATATAAATGGGTTATAATCCAAGTAGTTCAGTTGAATCCACAGTCAATGGAAGAACTTTCAAATTAATATGTAAATCAATATAAGGTTGAATGTTCGAATAATTAAACTTTGAGGTATACAAGGCAACTATCGAACACGGTGATTAATTTAATCTTGCCCAAGTACTTTCGATCAATAGATCATCTTCAGGGGCATTTCGTCAGTTGTGGCCTATCCGACATAGTAGAATGTCATAAATGTAAAATTTGGACATAACAATACAAAATACAATACACTAAGACAAACAAACACTTTAAAATTTTTAAGGAGAAGCTACATGTTGTATAGAAGTCGGAGATAGAATGATTCTGTCTCCGACGTTCAAGGCAATCACCGTGTTCGATGGTTGCCTTGTATACCCTCAAAGTTTAATATGTAAATACTCAGTGCATGAAGTCTAAACAGTCGAGCTGGGCCCTCTACGAGATGGAGCTGTAATAAAGTTTTTAAATATAGGATTTAATTTAGTACAATTTAAATTAATTTGAGTCTTAAGACAGTAAGAGTTTTCATTTGTTTCCCTTGTAATCTCCAAATCTTCCAATAAATCCAACTCAAGATAGTTTTTCTTTCTACTAATGTCATGTAAGATAGATGAACCAGAATTGATGTTAAAATTGTGGTTGCTGGATACTAAGTGTTGACCAAAACTTGAAGAGTTTGGTCTTTTCAAATGTTCAGAGACTCTAGTGGATAACTTTTTGATGGTTCTACCTACATAAGAGGCATCACAATCATCACATTTTAATTTGTAAATACCACTTTTATCAAGTGTATTCATCTTATCTTTGGTATTGATTAAGAAGGAGCCTAAAGTGTTATGTGATTAAAGGAGATTTTGATGTTATCAATGTAGAAGTAAAAAGTTTAGATATTTTATTGGAAATGCTGCTAATATAAGTGAAGGAGAAATATCTGATGTTATCTGAAACATTAGGTTGAAAAGACTGTGATGAATATGCAAGCTTTTCTGCAATTTTTAGTTTAGCTCTATTTAGAAGTTTGTATATGATGTTAGGATCATAGCCATTATTGACAGCAATCTGCTTAAGAGTATTGAGTTCTGTATTAAAATTATCATCAGAAAGAGGAAATTTAAGTAATCGATGAATGTAACTGTTGAAAGCAGCTAAATTGTTGGTTGAACTGCTGTTGGTTGAACTAAATAAATGGCTTAAACTAATTAACAAGTACAAAAAATGTCTATAACCTCCATAAATATGATATTATAATAAATGTTCAAAATGACCCCCATTTTCTTCAATACACATTCGGTATCGTTTTAATAAGGAAAACCGAATGCGCTGAAAAATCATATTTTTCTGTCGAAATTGATTTTCAGCTTCAATTATTCTAACCCTCAATTATTGTTCGTCCTCTATTGTTACAGAATACATTTTCTCTTTCATAAACCCCCAAAATCAAAAGTCCATGGGGTTAAGACCTGGACTTCTGGGTGGCCAAGAAATAGGTGCGTCATGACCCTTTCCAATCCACCGACCAAGATGCCGCCTACAAAGGTATTCCCGGACTTCATTACTGTAATGCGGTGGAGTGCCATCTTGTAGAAACCACATATTTTGCCTTATTGCAATATTCACTTCTTTCAAATACTCTTGTAAATCGTTTGCTAAGACCTGCAAATAATCATTACCATGTTGGGAAGAAATACTGGGCCTATTAGATTGTTATCCAGAATTCCTGCCCAAAAATTAACTTTGAAAGTTCTTTGGCGATGAGTCTTTTTTTTGGCGTGAGGATTTTCGTCGGCCCAAATGTACTCATTATGATGGTTTGTTATTCCATTTCTACTGAAGGTAGCCTCGTCGGTAAACATAATATTTCTAATAAAATTAACACTTCGAGTGTTTTCTATTAACAACCCATCGCAAAATCCAATCCTTTTAGGATAATCTTCAACTAATAACTCTTGAACCGTTGTTAAGTGATAGGGTTTAAGCAACTGATCCTTCAAACGCCTCCAAACCCTTACACGAGGAACATTTAGTTGAGCAGCTATTACCCTTGTACTTATTCCAGGGACTTCATCAATGATTTCTAAAATGTCTTCATCAGTTGCATCCATTATTGGACGACCACTATTGCCAGCAACTTGCGGTTGGAATGTACCCGTTTCCCGTAAACGACGATCATTTGTCAGAAATAATCGGGTGTATTTCGATTGGGGTATTTTACTGCATAATGCCTTGCGGCTGCTGCGCTATTTCCTTGACATTCGCCTACGATATTCCCGATACTTTATTAAAATCATAATTTAATCTGATCCAACGTACCCAAAATTAAATGCATATCTGCCATTTCCTGAACTGTGTAGGCCATTGTAATATCAGAAACTTTTAATATTAATCTTGTTCATACAATAAATGATAGCTTTAATTATTGACTATTATTAATGGAACTGTTTGTATAATTGTATCCATAGAAACTAATTGTAATTTCATGGTCAACTAGGAAAAAACTAGTTTTTCGAAAAAGTGATAACAGGCAAAAAAGTTTCAAAAATAATGTGTAATGATGCCACAAAATTCAGTTGATTTGAACATACTCAAAAGTTTGAGGGGATTTAGGGCTGCGCACCCCTCTGCGCTTAGATTTTGTTGTTTCTTTTTTATGAAAAATGCTTTCAGAACAAGAAAGTAACGTGTCCATTTTGATTGCAAAATGTCAAGTAGTTTAGAAGATAAAGCAAAAAAATTTTATTTTGTAACTTCAAAGGGTTGTAACTTTTTTTGTGTACACTTTTGTACTAAGGTAAGTTGGATTCATTCAATTTATTTTTGTCCTTAAAATGCGTGATTTAATTTATGACATACCTTCTTGAAACACCCTGTATAATATCTATCCCTGTATAATAATGTATTCTCTCCTTAACTTATTTAAGAGAGTAAAGTGTTACTATTTTTTAGCAACAAAGTGGCACAAACGAAGAAAACTACTGACACCTGCTTACCATTTTAACATATTGCAAAAATCCGTAGATGCTTTTAATACAGAGACAGAACGGCTAATTGGTAGATTAAAAGAAGATTGCCAGAAGTCTTACCTTAATGTAGTAGACTTGTCAAAAGATTTTGCTATGTATTGCGTCGGTGGTGAGTATATTTTTCTTAATATCATTTAGTTAATATATTTTATGCACAACTTATTTTCTTATACTAGGCAATAAAAAGATTTAAAGAAAAAGGAATTACTTTTAAAACCTTAAAAACAAGTAATATCATTTACCAGAAAATATGAATGTCTATATTATCTCTCTAGAGTCTTTACGAAGTTTCCAATGAATGTTTTGGCTTTATTTAGACTCACGTGGTGTCGACTGTGTCTTCCAAAGTAGAATGAACGTTGGATTAACACTCGCTTAAATGAGAAGTTTGCTTAAGGATTTTGCCTTTCTCTCTTCGAGTCCGTCGATTAAGAAAAAACATTTAGAAACAATTTATTATCTGTGATTTTTTGCGATTATGTAATAAACTTAACTAATAAAGCAGTATTAACATTGTTTACTTAAGTATTATATTTCTCGCATTTTAGAAACATCTGTAGGACTTCCAGTATGTGATCACAAGAATTACGAGAAATACAAAAATGCTGCCAGAGACTATTTAGAACTACAGGCAGCTAAAGCTGCCAATCCATTAGTTCTCGTTCCAGCCCTATACAAATGGACTTGGATATACAGAAAGAGCATGGAAGTCATTTCAATTTTACAAGAATTTTCTAGCAGCGTCCTCGCTGAGAAAAAGCAACGTATAGAAGAAGACAAACAATATTTTAAAAAAGAAAAGTCGTTAGGTTTATTGGATCTACTATTGAAAGCTAGAGAAGATGGTGCAGATATCGATGACACTGGAATTAGAGAAGAAGTCGATACGTTTATTTTTGCAGTAAGTGGTTTTCGATAAAGCATTATTTTTATCAAAAGACATTTAACAAGATATTTATGAAACTTTGAGTGCAAGTACAATGGCTCATAACGCATCTAATGCTACATTTTTTGTTAGCACTCTACTTCTATAGTTTCACTATAAGTACCGTCAACTTACTTAATTTAAATGGGACAACCTGGCCGGATTTAGAACCGACGGTAATTCCGCATTTCAAACGATTCCAATTTGTTCAACATTGTTGTTTTTAAATTTCATGTCTCGCAACCCTGAAATAGGATCGACCAAACATAACACCTCAAAACCATTATAGGAAGATTTAATGCCCAATGTTTGTTACACGGAACTCTTTTCCGTGCCATCAATGCCTTACGTGATATTTTAATCCATGATATTAACTCCTCATCAGAGTCTCCATTTGTATTTAACCCTCTGCCTAGATATTTAAAATGACAAACACGTTATAGTTTATCTCCATCTGTCCAAGTTTTGCTGTTGGGTTTTATTTATTTTGCCACCTGTCATCTACTTTGTTTTCATACTTTTAGCAGTGCTTGAAAATATTCTACACTTTCTGTAACAATGCCTGTATCGTTTTTACGACATTATTAATTGTTTTCCACCCATTTTTACCCTTTAAATGTTTTCATTCGTGTATTTAGTGGCTTTAAACATGCTTACTTTGGTAGCAGCACTGAAGATGGAATATTTCTTCCGAAAACATTTTCTAGCGATTTTTTACTAAAACTTTTGTGATATATGGTAAAAAGCTGATTACAGAAAATTAACTTTTCCTCGTGGATACCTTAGTACTTAATGTATGCTGATTATATAATGAGAGTAGAAAATATTGAAGGAGACTTAAAACAAATACTGGAATACTTTGGACAAGCTCTTGATAGTACAGCTTAAAACATAGTTGGATAAAAGCAGAGTATTTGTAATGTCCATTTAAAGATCGATTATTTAGAAATGCTAATACAAATAAAATGATAAACTTTGAATAGTAAAATGATTACAAAAAGTAATAACTTTAAGTTTACATGTAGTCGCATTAGAACGGGATGGATGAAGTAGAAGAAAGCGAATGATATCTTGTGTACCAGAAAGATTGTAACAAAACAGCTAACTCACGACACGATTGTCACCTCGGGGAAATGAAAAGGGTCTAAACGCCTTCTAATGCCTCCGGGTGCTCTGTAGAGGGCTTCGAAAACATCAACGATAGCTTCTCTACTTAAGTCCATTTTCAGGGTATGGACTCCTAAATGTTTTCTTCTGGTATCTTGCCTTGAAAAAGGCAAGATATTTCTTACATGATAAAAGGTTAAGTCGAAATAAAAATACCAGGTTGCAGTAGAATAACATCTCAGCCACAGAGTATGGATAAAGCTAAAAACAAGAGCAGAGCCCCGAAAGCACTAAGCTCTCGCAGAGCCCGTAAGCGACTGACTTGGTTGACCTGAAAATCGCCTATTTTTATACACGCTGATGTAGCGATAAATAGGGATTTCTAGGTCAGGAACCAATAAGAAAAAATGAGGGGCGGGGCGATGCGTCTCGAGCGCGTACTAGTCGCGCTTGAGGACACGATATTCTTGGAGTAGATCACAAGAGTAGATGATAAAAAGCTGTTCGTTCACAGAAGCTTTACGAATAATATACTCTTCACAAACTTCACTTTATCATTGGATGTTCGCTATCAATTTATATAAACTTATACATATTCGGTATTACTATATGGATTAGAACCATATATTCTAGCAATAAATAGTATTATAATAAATATTAAGTGATGTATATGTTATTATGTTATAGTGCAATCTATGAGTCTTAATTTGGTTTTTATTGCTAATTTGTCTGTTCTTAATATTAGTCCAAATTGAATTGTATTAAAAAGCTATGGTAACCACCACCAAGTCTCTGATCGCTTCCCAAAAGTACAAAAAGAAGAATTGGATGACTGACGAGATATTACCAATGATGGACAACCGCATATCATTTATAAACAAAGACCGAACCAAACATCAGCAGATTAACCGACAAATACGAAAAGAGTGTCGCAAAGCTAAAGAACAGTGGCTGCTACACAGGTATGCAGAAATTGGGGAATTAGAAGAAAAACATGACCACTTTAACATACTTAAACTCGTTAAAGAAGTAACATCATACAAAACCTTGCAGTTTTAACAGTATTGTAAAGGACAATAAATTAATTACTGATCCCAAGGATTTACTTCAACTTTAGAGAAACTACACATAGCAACTATACTCAGACAAGACAATATAGACGCCTTGGTAGATCTTTTTACTGACATTAATGGGTCCAGTCAAATACCAAAGGATTGGCTTCAATCAACCTTTATACCAATCCCAAAAAAGCCAAACGCTAATAGTTGCGACCAATTCCGAATGATCAGCTTATTGAGCCAGGTCCTAAAACTCTTCTTAAAGATAATTCACACAAGAATATACAACAGATTTGAAAGAGACATTAGCCCCACACAGTTCGGTTTCAGACAAGGATTTGGCACAAAAGAAGCACTTTATAGCTTAACTGTCTTACTTTAGAAATGCAGAGATCAGCAAAAAGATGTCTGCCTATGCTTTATAGATTATCAGAAAGTGTTCGATTGTGTTAATCATTAAGAATTAGTAAGATTGCTCCAGGAACTTTCGATAGATGAGAATGACCTTAAAATCATAAAGAACCTTTATATGAATCAAGTGGCATCTGTAAGAGTAGAACTGGAATCTAAATCATATTTCTCAATCGAAAAAGGTGTACGACAGGGTTGTGTTCAGTCACCCCTGCTTTTTAATCTTTACTCTGAAACGATTTTTGATAGAGCCTTAAGTGACGCTGAAGATGGAATCAAAATCAACGGACAGACTATTAGTAATCTTGGCTATGCTGATGATACAGTCATAATAGCTGATAGCTAAGAAGCGCTACAACGACTAATAGATAAAATAAACGCTGAAGGAGAACGACTGGGCTTGAAGATTGATATAGACAAGACGAAGGTAATGGTGGTTAGCAGAACAAGAAATATGCAATTAAGTATAAGAGTATGCTATTTGACAAGGATAGACAGAATCCGCAATGAAGAAATAAAACGTAGAATGGAGCAAGAAAAAGAGATTATAGATGAAGTCCAGAAAAAACAACTAACCTGGTTCGGTCATGTAAACAGAATGGCAGACGAGAGGTGGCCAAAGAAAATATTAAAATGGATCCCAACCGAAAGAAGGAAAAGAGGGCGTCCAAGAAGAAGCTAGCGATATGACGTGAATGAAGCCATGGAAGGAAGACAGCTAAATAAAGCCGACACCCGAGATAGGAAACGATGGAAACTAGGGACAGGAAAACAACGACAGTTGTAAACAACCTGTACTATATAAGTATAAGAGTAAACAATAAGAATATCTAAAAGGTTCCCAAGTTCAGATATCTCGGTAGTTGGATAACTGAAGATCTAGATCCACACATAGAGATACGTAGCAGGATTGAGCAAGCCAGAACAGCATTTACTAATATGAGAACCTTGCTAAGCAACAGCAGCCTTAACTCAACGCTTCGATATCGCTTTTTAAAATGTTACATTTACTCCATTCTGCTATATGATGTAGAAACCTGCACCATAAAGCCAATGTGATGAACCGATTGAAAGCCTTTAAAATGTGGGTATTTAGAAGACCACTTAAAATTCCCTGGACAGATCACACAACAAATGTCAAAGTAATAAATCGAATGGGCAGAGAACGAGAATTTCTGCCAATAATAAAAAGAAGAAAAACTGCTTATCTGGGTCATATATTTCGAAATTCCAAGTATCAGTTCTTATGGAAGAGAAGATAGAAGAAAAACAGGGCATCGGACGAAAGAAATACTCATGGCTTAAAAGCATAAGAGATTTGACAAACCTTGATGCCCATGCACTCTTAAGAGCCACACAAGACCGTGAGGAGTATGCCATAATTGTCGCCAACATTCACTAATTGGATAGGGCACTATAAGAAGAAGAATATTAGTCATCTGATTGCGGCTCTACCCTTGTGTTTTTTGCACTATAGCATTAACGTGTAGTGTAAACGTTGATCACAGAACTCACAGAAATTGTCAAGAAGCGTAAAACATCTTATCTTGGACACATATTTAGACACGACAGGTATAACTTCCTTCAGCTTATTATAGAAGGGAAAATTGAAGGCAGACGCGGCCCGGGTCAAATGACCTGGCTGCGCAACATCAAAGATTGGACAGGATTAGACTTTCAAAGTTTAATAAGGAAAGACCACAATAGCGAAGACTTTGCAGGGGTCATCGCCAACCTTCGCTAAGAAGACGCACCCAAAGAAGAAGAAGAAGTAATCGTTGATCCATTGTGATTTTAAGTATTTAGCTTTATTTTTCAATTTGATGAGTCTGTCTTGCACTATTAACTGTTCTTCTGGGTTATGTCTTCTTTTTGAAGAACTGCCTGTGTGTTTTTTGAATGTATGTCGTTTCCATTGGATACTCCAATCTTCTAATATATCTGCTTCTACCTGTAGGTATTTTACAGGTTCCTGTATTTTATTATACAGGAACCTGTAACAACTATTTTATGATCAAAAAGTAGAACAATTATTAGAAGTTAACGGAGAAACCACGGGACCAGAAATAATGAAAGAGGAAGTTATGTATGCTATAAAACACACAAAAGGCAGCAAAGCTCCAGGACCCGATGAAATACCAATTGAACTATTGAAGATAATTAATGAAGATAATATTGATGTCTTGGTAGACCTTTTTAACTCCATATACAAGACGGGACACATACCCAAAGAGTGGCTTCTCTCAACTTTTGTGACGATTCCAAAAATCACAAATGCTAAAGATTGCAATGACTATCGAACAATTGCGTTAATGAGCCACACATTGAAAACCTTCATTAAAATCATGCATAACAGAATCCACATGAAATTAGAACAAGAAATAAGTGATTCACAGATGGGTTTCAGAAAGGGTCTAGGAACTAGAGAAGCATTATTTGGAGTCCATGTTCTGACACAACGATGCCTGGATATGAATCAGGACATATATGCTTGCTTTATAGATTTTAAGAAAGTTTTTGATAGAGTTCAACATGAGAAGCTTTTAAGTATTCTTAAGACTAAAAACATTGATAGTAGAGATCTACAAATTATATCGAATCTGTATCAAAACCAGAAAGCAAGAGTAAGAGTCGAAGGAGAACTGACAGAGGAAGTAAGTATACTTAGAGGAGTTCGACAAGGGTGTATCCTTTCACCACTCTTATTCAACGTCTACAGTGAAGTGATTTTTCAAAAGGCTTTATTGGATATCGTGGAAGGTATTTATGTCAACGGAAATAGCATTAATAATATTAGATATGCCGACGATACTGTCATATTTGCAAGTGACATGGAAGATCTACAGTACATAATACAACATGTATACAATGCATGTGAAAGTTACGGACTGCAAATGAATCTTAAGAAAACGAAATCAATGATATTCTCAAAAAAACCACAAAATGTAAATAACCTGATCATCAATAATACAACGATAGAAAGAGTAAAAACATATAAATATTTAGGAACGTGGCTAACCGAAGATGAGATCAAGTAAAGGAGATCAGATCTAGAATAGAAATGGCAAGAAACACGTTCATAAAATTGAAGAAATTACTTTGCAACCGTAACCTTAATCTAGAGATTCGCACAAGAATGCTACGTTGTTACGTCTTCTCTACTTTACTATATGGCATGGAAGCGTGGACAATAAAGCAGTCTGAAATCAAAAATTAAACTCCTTTGAGATGTGGTGCTACAGGTGAATGCATAAAATATCGTGGATTGAAAAAGTAACTAATATAGAGGTGTTACAAAGAATGAAGAAAGAATGTGAAGTCATAAAAACTGTTAAAATTAGAAAGATTCAATATCTGGGACATTTAATGAGGGGTGAGAAGTACGTATTACTGAGGTTGATTATGCAAGGGAAGATACAAGGAAGAGAAACCCAGGACGACGCAAAATGTCCTGCTAAGAAATTTGAGAGAGTGGTTCGGCTGCAGCTCATTAGAATTATTCAGAAATGCGGTCAACAAAGTTAAAATAGCGATGATGATTTCCAACCTCCGCTAGGAGAAGGAACCCGAAGAAGAAGAAGTATTTTATCGCAATTGCAGTGTCATCTTTGTGAAGGCTAGGCAGTGTTGCGGGTATTCTCGGAATGTCTGTGTGTATATTATATACAAAAAGGGGTTCTAAGGCTTTTCCCGTGGTACTTCAGTTTCCGCAGTTCCGTATTCAGACAGATCTTATCCTATCTGGACCCTGGATGTCTGTTCGCCCAAGTACGAAGTGATAAGTCTTGTCATGGCTACGCTGTATCCAGATTCTACCATTTTCAATGTTAATCCCTTATGTCACACTCTGTCGAAGGCTTTGCTTACATTCAGGAAGGGTACTTCTGTGTATTCATTGTCGTTAAATCCATCTGTTAGTCTAAGTACATCTAGTTCACTAATGTGTTAAGCTCTGAATTGTGCTTCAGGGATTATTCTTTGCCTATCTGTATCTGTTTGAAGTCTGGATTGGATGATTCTCTCTGCTATATTGCTGACTGCTAGAAGTAAGCTGATCAATCTGTAGTTTTGCGAAAATATGTTATTTTTTCTAGAATTTGGTATCATGATTACGTGGGAGTCCTTCCATTGGTTTGGAAGACCCTGTACCTTAATATTACATTTGTTATATTTATTAAATATACAATTGCTTTCGCTGGAAGTTACTTCAGATCCTTGTTTGTTATTTCATCTGGACCAGGTGCTTTTCTTGGTGAGCTTTTTCTGATTATCTCACTTATTTCTCTATGTGATGTACCCGTTCTTCTATTTTTTTTTTTTTAATGATTGTCACACTTTTGTTTCTATGTTCTAGTAGTACCTGTTCGACTTGTCGATTTAGTAGGTGTACCCAATTTTTGTATTTCTGATTTTTTGTTCTTCTGACTATCTTTTGGCTCTTTTCTTCTCTCTTATCATTTCTCTTAGTTCCTAGTTGATCTAAATCTGTCCTTGTGTATTGCACATTATTCTTCAGTAGTGCTTTTTCTTAGAACATTTTGTCTTTGTACCTCGAGAGAGAAAAGTGCTTAATTGGGTGCATCTGTACTCAAGCGACTACATCAACTTTTATTTTTAAATATTTATTGTAAATATTTTTATATGACATGACTGCCAAATTTTTTGTACTTTGAGTTTACAGATATTAATTGTTTTGTAGGGTCATGATACTACAGCTACTTCATTATCTTTTATCTTGTTTGCGTTAGGAAATGAGCCCGATATACAGGTAAAGTTTATTTTTAAAACAAACTTTATACTTTAATCACTGAAATATTAAATAAAATAAAGCAAAACACTTGTTATAATCAGGACATTTACATAAAAATAATACGCCACAAGAAATACCAACAACTACAACTAATTATTCATTGTAAAGTAAAAAGTTCTGTTTTCCAACTATAAAATATTATTACTTTCTTATTTTTACATAACCGTTGATCCAAAATATAAATAATAGTACATTGTTTACCGGGTAGGAAAAGCTTAACATTCCTGGACGACTGTGAAGATTGCTAAAGGCAGCTTTACATCTAGGCTATGCAAGTCTCATGCTATGCAAGTCCGTCTTGCATGGCACATCTCTTGCTTAGCTTGACCTTTTTACATCAGAGATATTTCTGTGCAATTTTAGATCCCACTTTCATTGTTGCCAACAGAGAAAATATTTATCAATTTGAGGTTATTTTATTTTTTATAAATATAATTAAGTACTAAAATAAATAATATAATAAATAAATATACACTATTTATGGTTATTAAAGGGTGAAGGATGTCAACAAAAGAAAAGAAAACATTGTTATTGTTGAATATTGCTGTTGTAGCAACAATCATCCATAGTCAACGACTCACCCAGTCGTTTTTACATTAACTTTAGACATAGTAATATCTATTTATCACCACTTAATAAACTTAATTTAAATCAAAACACAACAATACACACGTGGGCTAAAGATAGAGATAAGGTTATGTTTTATTCCGTAATCTATTATAAATTGTTATGTTGGCAACATGAATTTTAACGATAAATTGCAAGAGAATTGCATGAAAAATAGAACATGTTCTAATTTTTCGTCTAGCACAGGAATTGCATGGAAATAGCCCGCGGGCATGCGCAGTTCCATGGTCTGTCTTGCATGGCTCTTGCCTAGCATGAAAATAGCATAATGTAAAACTGTCTTAAGTCGAGGCGCAAGCCGAGACTTAGCAACACAGAGTCCAGGAATGTGGCTTTTTCCTACGAGGTAAACATACTATTTTTCCGCAAATCGTTTAAAATTCGACAGATATTGATTGATTTAAAAAAAAACGCGATAATTTTATTCCCAAATAAATGGTGCTTTGAAATTCCTAATAAAATTACTTGGGTTACTATGGAAACGTATTGAGGTTGAATTGTCAAACTTGACGCTTATAAATTTAATTGCTGGTGTTCTCGAAAGTAAAATGATAAGTGATGATGAAATTTCCATTCCTGGACTCCTCCAGAGCTGGTTGAGGCAGTGAATACTGCTTCATTAGAATTATTGCCAAAGAAATCAAGAGAAAAGTACGAAAATGCATACAGACGTTTTATGGATTATCGCATGAGTAAAAATACGAGTTCTTTCTCAGAAAATGTTGTAATGGCATACTTCCTAGACCTTTGTTTAAAGATGAAATCTTCAACATTATGTTTATATTAAAATTAAATATAATAATAATAATGTTCAATAATGGTACTAACTGTCAAATTACTGTAAATATAACAAATTGATCTTAAAAATGTATTCAGCAATGACTTGATGTTTTCAAAATATACATTAATTCCTTATAAGCAATGTGTTTTCTATCATTTATGTAGAACACTAACAACTGTACGGAAATATCATTTCCTTACAGTAAGGAAATGACATTTCCTTACAGTAAGGAAGTCCTGACTTTTTCTTCAAGAAATTTTGACAGGAATGTCAAAATTTCCTGACGATTTGCGGAAAAAATTGTTTTTTCGCATTATCTCCTAAACTACTTGACAGAGTTAGGGCACAGTTAGGGCTCGTATATGCTTTGAATTTTGAAAATAAACTACCAAACGCAAAGTATGTGTTCCATGTTAATCCATCACTTACATATCACTGCTGTTCACACTGTTCTTCTTATTAATTATGCAACCAATAATACAAAATAATAAACATAAATTCTCGTAAAAATAAAATAATCTCAATAAGTAGATGTAAAAGTTTTATTAATTTATTTTTAAAATGTAATTTTTTACATTAGGTATTTGTAATTGTTTCTAGTATAACTATGCAACTTAACACACTTACACAACAGCTTTTAATAAAATATATATTGTATATGGTTATTTCATTATTAAAATATGTTACAGGAACAAATTTATGAAGAAACTGTTAATATTCTCGGAGATTCAGAAACACCAACTTTTAATCAATTAAGAGAGCTAAAATATTTGGAAAGATGTATCAAAGAAGCCTTACGACTATATCCGATTGCTCATGCCATATCCAGAAAAGCTGGCGAAGATATTAAAACGAAAAACGGATGTGTCATTCCTAAAGGATGTAACATTTTTATAGACATATTTGATGTACACCGGCGACCAGAAATATGGGAGAACCCAGAAAAATTCGATCCTGATAGATTTCTGCCGGAGGTCACAGCTAAACGAAGTCCTTTTGCTTATATTCCGTTTAGTGCAGGAAGTAGAAATTGTATAGGTATATTGAATTCCATTAGAGGACACTGTCCTAATATGACATACCTTTAACAAAACTGAATACTTAGTTGCAATTTATGTTCTTTAGTTTAAGCCGCTTTATTTTAAAAGCAAGAGATATTAACAAAATGTCCAATAGGTATGTCATTTTAGATATGTACTCTAGCATGTAGAAAACTCCTTAAAAAACTATCTTATCAAGAATAAGAAATTTTCTAATACGTCACTGGCCCGAGTCTAAATATTTCCCAATTCTGTTTACATTGTGAGGTAAAAGAAAAGATTTCCGAATTCCGGTTATAACTAGGACGTTAAAATATGTATATATTTATTTGTATACTTAGTTCTACCATTTTAAAAAGTTGTTTGATTCAAGGTCGTTTTTCGATATGTTTAACAGCAATTTTGGGTTTTTTGATGACAAGAACCGGTAGAAAGGTAAGACGCAAAACTGGTAAGCCGGTGTGGAGGGTCGATTGAATTCAAGTTCAGGTTAAAAGATTTGATCAAAGGGAAGGGTCATGGTTAGCCGGCAAAATTTGTTGAAAATAGTGGAATTTTACTCTCTGGTAATATGTCAGTTTAAAAAAGAGTACTCACTATGTTTTTAAGTATCTAAGAGATTTGTTTCGTGTACAAGAGTTTGTAAAATGGTTCCAGTTTTGTAAGAAACCGTTTATAGGGTGTATCCAATGTGCCACTGATTAAACCTCGCCTTTGTTTGTTCCTGGCTGGTGATCGTTCCAGACTATAGATGCAATCCTTTTTGTTCGTGCGTAGCAGTAAATCTCCAGTATAAATTCCAGTTCCCACCCCCAAAGTAAGTCCAGTTTACAACCCAAGTGCATTTTTGTGAAACCAAGGAAGAAAGAGCCTTTTTTCCTTCATCCAGCAAGACTAGGATCCTTCAAAGCAGCGTCCTTATTTTAAATAGCTAGAGGCCTTTCTTGTTGTTGTTTTTTGTCCATTTTTCGAGGAGACTCATTTAAGTACCATATTTTTGTTTTATTTTTGTAGTTGCCCCAATCCGACTACTTGCCATTCAAATTATCCAGGACCCCAAATTCAGGATTTCAACTCCAAATAAAACCTGAGTTCCGTTCTTATAAATATAATTTATTTTTCTTGTCCTATCGTTTCAAATCTAGTAGGTATTTAAATTTTTTAGCCAAGATTGGTATCAAACCTAAAAATGCTGTTGTTTTATAATAGTATTCCAAGATATTAATAGTTTTTTTATACCTGAATAAGAATACGGAGGAAGTTCAAATTCATTTTGTAGTAGCACAGGTCTCTTTCGCTTACTTTCTTTATCCTTGACTATTGGTGTCTCCCATGCTCCATTATAGGACTTCCGATTATATATTAGTCTACGATGTTCTTAATGTATTTCTAATTCTCGAATTGGACGGGAACTGTAAGAACATTTCTTCAAATGATCTGTTTTAGTATTAAAAAAATCGTCCATGCTCCAAAGTAGGATTGATCTATTTTCACAACGTCAAATGACGATGGTTTTGCTCAAGCACTTCTAAAAATTTTAACCCAACCTGAAGGAATCTCAATTCGTTGTTTGGAGTTTATTAAGCCCATATTTTTGTCCGGTTCCATTTAGAAATGCCCACGAATAGGAAAAGTAACTTTAACATACTCAAGTCTACGTGTATTGTGGACAATATAATGCAAAAAACGAAACATGGTGAAATTTTTATTTTGCCACCACACGAGTCGCAGAATATTTCAAGCGATCTTACTTGTATAATCGAGAAAATTCCATAGAAAGTCATTCAGCATTGAGCATAATCGTCTCTTCACTGTTTTTGCTGTAGATAGAATGTGGACATTAAAGGCATAGACGTTTTCTCTTATAGTAAACATCGTTTGTTGCTATGTTTGAAACACTAAGATTTTTTCCAAAATCGAGACAAATAGACTTTTTTCTTCGCGGCCCTTTTTTTCTACTGTAAAATACCTCGTCCTTTCTTTCGTGTACATCATTTTGTATCGTAAGCTGGTATTTCCTTTTGCAAGCGTTCATTTTAAGCAAGATCGAAACTGTTTAAAACATCAGACTGAAGAGATTTTATTTTTATAAGAAACTCATCACATAAACTACATGTATAGGTTCGGGGATATCCAAAGGCTATGTTAAATATTGTATTAAAGACTTCTGTAAGACTCGTAAGATACTTTCACAGAAGGGTTCATCGCAAAACATTTTGAACATCTCTTTTATGTTTTAAGTCTTCGGGTATTATTATTTTTTATTTTATATTATTTTTTTTATATTTTCAGGTCAGAAATATGCGATGCTGGAGCTAAAGGTAGTTTTGTGTGGAATAATCAGGCACTTCACATTAAAATCCGAAAAAAGACCTGACGAAATTGAACTCTCTGCTGATATATTTTTGAAAGTAAAAGATAGAACTCTTAACGTCAAATTTATACCAAGAACTAAAGATTAAATTATTTTTTACATAGTTTTGTTTTTTTTCGCTATATTAGTAGTAGCAGTAGTATCTTATAGGAACTTCAATTATAGCTGATATATTTCATTACGATTGTGCTCCAATATAAATCGTTTTAAAGTTCCTATCGCCTATCTTCTTAGAGTGCCGTCTCCCTACGGAGGTTGGCAATCATAATGGCTATTTTTATTTTAGAACTTGCTGCTGATCGATCTGCATTGGTACCAATCACGTAGATTCTTTAACCATGAGTTCTGCCTTCGGCCAACAGATCTTCTTCCTTGAATCTTTCCCTGTATTATTAGTCTCAAAATTTCATATTTTGGTCCCCTCATCACGTGGCCTAGGTATTCCAGTTTTCTGGTTTGTATAGTGGTGATTAGTTCTGTTTCTTTACCAACCCTCTCCAGTACTTCTTTATTTGTAATTCTATCAGTCCATGATATTTTCAATACTCTGCGGTATAACCAGAGTTCGAAGGCCTCGATTCTTTTTAAATTACATTTTTTTAATGTCCAAGTCTCAGCTCCATATAATAATATTGAAAATATATAACAGCGAATGGTACGTAGTCTGATCTCCAAATTTAGATTTTTGCACGTTAGGAGTGGCTTCATTCGTATAAAAGTATAAATGCTGATCTGGCAATCTCTATTCGCCTGTTTAATTTCTACAGTATGATCATTGGTTTCATTGATCAAAGTTCCCAAATACTGATATTTTTCTACTTGTTCTATCACGTTACCATTTATTGTCAATAGGTGTTGTATATTTTGTGGCCTTTTTGTAATCAGCATGTACTTCGTTTTTTTAGCGTTTATAGTAATTCTCATCTCAGCACTATTTATACTCAAGCTTTCGATAAGATGTTGTAGATCCTCTATACTCGTTGCTATGATCACAGTGTCGTCTGCATATCTTAAATTATTAATTAAATTTCCGTTAACGGTGACTCCCGCTTCGATATTATTGAGCGTGTTTTGGAAAATTTCTTCAGAATATAAGTTAAACAAAAGTGGTGATAACACACATCCCTGTCTAACTCCTGTACAGATCCTCATTTCTTCTGAGTGTTGCCCATCAATTTGAACTATGGCACTTTGGTTCCAATATAATGTTTGCACTATATTTATGATTTTACTGTCAATGTAATGTAATTACATGTCTTACTTTATCGACAGCTTTTTCGTAGTCAACGAAGCACAAGTGTAGATCAACATTTACATCCCGACATCGCTGAATTAATATGTTGATGGCAAATAGTCCTTCTCGAGTACCCATTCCATTTCGGAACCCGAACTGCGTCTCGCTAATATCCTCCTCTAGCCTTTCGTATATTCTCTTATGTATTATTTTTAGCAGAACTTTTAAAGTATGACTCATGAGGCTCAGTGTTCGATAATCAGAGCACTCTTTTGCTGCTTGTTTTTTAGGGATGGTTATAAATGCTGACTTTAGCCACTCCTGTGGTAATGTTAATGGTTAATGTTGATTGGTAATGTTGGTGGTAATGTTAATGTTGATGGTTTTTAAAGTTAAAAATCCATAAATCCTTCATATAAATATTGACATATACCATCAACGCGCCTACGCCAACACGCCTGATCTTATACTTATTCACATTTATTTGCAAGATTATGTACGAAAAATTAACAGTCAAAGCAAGTTAGTTAAAAACCAATCGGTAGTGATAAAAAGTAGACAATAAATAGGTAAATAAGATAAGAACTACAAAAAACAAATCAAACAAATTAATGAGTGGAATCATGTACTTTTTTTGCAGACTTTTTTGCGACAGCCCAGCGCTGTCTGCAAGCGTTTTCTTAAATGGAGGCCTGTCATTTTTCATGCCAGTGGTTCCCATCAGCGTCCCATATAAGCCTGCGCCAACGGTTGTAGAGACGTATAACCTCCTCGGGCCCAAAAATAAATTGCAGTGATTTTTTTGTTGACAATCAAAAGAATGTTACAATTTGGGATTACTAATCATAAAAAACAAAATAAAAAAAACCCGTTTGGTTTTTTCAAAAATTGTAGTATCACTAGTGATACTTTGGGTCTGGACTGACAATAAAAAAATTAATATTCACTTATCATTTTTATTGATGAAATTTAGTAAAACAATTTCTATTGGCACTACATAACATAAAAAAAACCTTGCACCAAGCACATTTGACAAACGTCAGGTTGTGGCATCCAGGATACCTGCATTTTGATCTTGATTTTTGGCCTTCAATAGCGAAGTACGGGAGGTGTGTAGCTTCCTTTGACCGTAAGCGTTTACCAGGGATTGGTGCAGTCTTTCTTCTTTCCTGGTTACATTTTCATTTTCTTCGTCACTTTCATCGGATGTGGGTTCTTGGAGTACAAGAACAAGCGAAAACTTAAATGACAGGAGTAGATAGGCTACACAGCTTTGAGACCAACCCCTAAATTGCAACCCCTAAAATCGCAACCCCCGGTCGTAAGTTCCAAACGGCTTAACGTAGGATGACGTACGAGGGCTCGTTGGAAAGGGGATGAAAAATGGGTTGAATGCAGTATGTGCCGTGCGCATCGGAGCATGCCAAAAGGTCATTATGGGGTATCTTCGTTTCTATTGGTCCGATCGTGACGTACGAGGGC